AACCATCTGCAGGAATCGCTTGAGTATAGACTTATTGGGATAGCAGAAATATATAAATTATTGTTTTGGTCGCAAACGGATAACAATATCTCAAATGTCCGTAACGTAGACGGTACCGAAAACTGTTTGTAAGGACCTCTTTGTAAGAGTAATTATGTATCTACAGGTCGCACATGGGTATGATTCTGAGTAGTTTCATACTCCATTGACGGTTAAATTAATTGTCTATTTCACTGGTCTTAGCCTATTGAAAATAATTTTAATGTGGAAGGCGCAGAGGCTGCATACAGAAAAGTTATTTTGGCTTTTAAAAGTTACGACTTGTTGCCACCATAAAATGGCTTCAACTGGAAACAGCAGATTATAACAGATTATAGCACGAACGATTAACTGGCCCTTATACATTTGACGCAATTTTGAATTATACGAGATCAAAGTATACTCAAAGCTAAATCTGTAAAGATTGAGATATCCTCCTGTTCATAAGAAACTAAAATACAGCTGGTGAAATTTCTACTCTTAGGTTTTGAAGTTAGCAACGTATTCTGGGAGTGTTGTCTTACCCTATTATACAATATAACGGCGTATATTTCAGGCCACAGTATGTATTCTTCTCTGCTGAGAGTCTTGTCACTGCTTGCAGTATGTCATGACACCGCTGGAGAGATCCTGTGGAAAGAGGACCCCCTTGTGGTTAGTTCCCCAGTGTTGTTGGACACGGCAGCTGCCAACGTTCCCCACTATGAGCCTCCAGGGACACCCTGGACAGAAAACAACAAGAGACCAGTGTGGGTAGCAGAGCGTACCCCTGACTTCTATCATCACGTCCCGACTGTTCCCGAGGTGAAACGACCCGTGTCTGTACCAGTAGAAAGTAAAGACACACGGAACAAAGAAACATTCGTTGATAGAGTCCTGCTCAGTTCGTCCCACACTTTGCCAGCAGCTACCTTAACTTCGAAAGGTAAAGCTAAGACAATCATTCAAAATGGCACACCCCTTTCAGTTAGTGCACCAGACAACAGCATTGTGGGTAGTACTTTGCCACAGGGCCAGTATCCACAGTACCAAGAAGTCTTCACAGAAACTCGCTCCTTCGTAGACGCTGTTGCAAACTCCTTAGATAGTACAAAACAACGATTTCCAGTTTACCTTTCAGAAAGCGGCGCCTTTCCTTTTTCACCTGATACCAATCAGGATCCATCAACCGGTGTTGCAGCTTCAACCTTACAAAATGTTCAGTTTGTATACCCGACACTTCAAGATATAGAATTCAGCGTCTCAAGCGTACAGACGTCACCCCAGGCTCGTCCTGTGGTTGAACAGCAGGATATAAAAGCTCTGAACAGGGACTTCCCACATGTAGAAACAGGACGATTCCCACAAACGGCAGAGAAAGATTTAGCCGTAATATCGAGTGTGCATATCGATGGGGGTGGCGTTTTGCCCAGTGACGTCAGCAAAAAGCCGCCCTCACTTCTGCAACTTCTCACGCAAGAACAGAACAAGGTAGCGACAGCAGAACAGATATATCTCGGGACTGACCACATAACTAAAAATGTTGCACACATAGATGACCACTATTTTCCCCATGACTGGAAGAATGTTTTGGATTACAGTGAGTACAAAGCGTACATGATGCCATAGTATTTGCCCCGGCTTTCCACGTCTTTCCAATTGTTCATTTTCCAGAGAGTATATATTATAAATGTAAGGGCTAAACTGCTCTTTAACATGTTATCATGAAATGTTATACAACCGACTCTGTGTCCGCCTTCTAGTTATTCAGCAATCAACTTTCTATAGGCAGATTGTGGTTGTCACTTTCAATAAGAAGCCTGTCCCACTCTTCTTGTCTTTACTTTCTAGTTTCTCCATTTTTGATATGCTGTCCTTTGCAGCTCCGCAGGTTGCACACTTGATTTATCTAGATGAAGTTTGAAACTCGAACCTGAGTCAAGTAAAAATTATTTTACCTTCCTTCCAAAGCATTTCACTTTTACCACGGTGTCCTAACACTACCAGGCTTTTTCCTGGGGGAAAGTGTGTGTGTGTGTGTGTGTGTGTGTGTGTGTGTGTGTGTGTGTGTGTGTGTGTGTGTGTGTGTGTGTGTGTGTGTGTGTGTGTGTAGTTCTACTTCACGCCAGCAGGAAGCACAAGTGGAACAACTTCTATATATATCAATGCCCACATGTAGTCGGTATTCAGTATGGTCTACACTCCATCATCATCATCATCATCATCATCATCATCATCATCATCATCATCATCATCATCATCATCATCATCATCATCATCATCATCATCATCATCATTCTTTCTCACCTATTACCGGAAAACAGACCACTAATAAGAGCTTTCCTTGCACTTCTGTCCGGAGCTATATCCCCTCCCCCCTCTGTCCAGTTATATCCCATCTCTTTAAGGTTGGTATCTACATGTATGTCTCTCTTCCGTGTGCTTGTAGGCTTTCCTTTTTTTCTCTTTCCTTGTGGGTTGCATCTGCAGGCTTTGTGGGTAATGTTTGTTTTCGGTTTTCTCAAAGTATGTCCAATCCACTTCATTTTCTTCTTTCTAATTTCTAGATCTATTTTCTGTTGATGTGTTTGTTCCCATAGTTGTTAATTTCTTATGGCATCGGGTCAATAAATAAATGTTTAGTACAGTAAATTTCTTAAGCAGCTGTTGATAAATGTCTGTAGCTTTTAAAAAAGCTTGTTTTGTAAGTTTTCGTGTTTCTGATCTACAGAGACGTACACGTTTGACACTGGTATGAACATTCTTGTACTGGCATCTGTTTCTATAATTCCTTACTTCCATACGTTTCTAAGTTGTTTGAAAGCGCCTCTTGCCTCTCCTATCCTTGCCTATTTATATCTGGATCTGTTCCACCAACGCTGTCTGTGATGCTACCCAAGTAAGTGAAAAACAAAGTTTACCCTATATTACTGAAAATTGTATTAATTACGTTCAATCCTCATAGTTAGACAAGCAAATAATTCTAGCAAGCCAGTTTTTGGCACTTCCATGACAAAATTGTATCAAGTTAAACATCTACTAATTCATCAAACCACCACCACTCCATTTGTTTTATTGTGACTGTTTTACAGTACTATAGGTCGTTTTGTAGGCCCGAGCCATTTGAGACTAGTTAGACGTTAAAATTCCACACAAAGAACAAACGGAAAAAGAACAACAACAGCACAATAACAAAAAACCAAACAAAGCAAAATAACAACTACAACAGCAACAAAAGAAAACAAAACAACAAACTAAATGAACACAGTCCCAAAGAAATGATTGCACTCCACTGGGAACACAATAAACAATAAAACAAGGTTAACGTTGGTTCTTTTCGCTCATAGCCCGTTGTCGAGAGGAATTTTACTTCACCTACGATAACGACTTCTCGGGACCGGTTTGGCAAGGTGTGAAAGGCGAAGTGACGGTGTCCGACGGCTGCGCGGTGTTCACCGGCAGAGGGAGCCTCATCCTGCCTCTGTTCGCCTGCAATGACCTTTTACCTCGCTACTCCATGCGCTTTACCATCAGGCCTGACCAGTCCGCCCAGCATGAGATGGCTGTCCTGGGTAACAGGTCAGTGCGCCACGAGGGAAATTCGAATTCGATCTTAGTATATATAATTACTGAGGAATGTAGGACTAACATGATCTAAACAATTAATTACTAACCAGTTGTTGTAACCATCTCCAGCTGGGGCTATGGCAACACTTAGATGTGTAATTTACAAATAAGCGTTATAAGAATGAAGTAACATATTAATTCATTAATTAATGTATTTATTAATTAATTAATTTATATATGTAAAACACTCTCCTGTGTGTTTACTATAAATCTAACAGCTAATTTCAAAATCCAAAATTCTGCACATTTTGTTGTTATTTCTAAACAGAAAAGCTCCAGATAATAGAATTGGCCACGGCGCTCATATGACCTTATATACAGTTGCAAACGCCGTAAAACCTCTACTAAAACAAGAATTTGCCATGGTAAAAAAAAGTATTATTATTATTATTATTATTATTATTATTATTATTATTATTATTATTATTATTGTTATTACGGAAACAGCAGCAACTACGACAAAAATAGCAGAAAATATAGAAACAACATCTAACAATCAACAATAGAAAAAAAATACGGATAACATCTGCAGAATCAAAATAAACAACAAGATCAGTTTAAACAAGCACAATAGCAGACCTAAATCATCATTGTTACACAGTTGAAAACAATCATATTATTATGGAGACATACATTTGGTTTAGATAATCTAGACAATTCTATGGCATTACAGTCGACTCCGTTTGTGTTGAACTCGCTTGAGTCAATCTTCGGTAAAGTTGATCTTTTTCTCCGGTCCCAGCACCTCATCTTCTTTTAAGATCCCAACGGTTAACTTGATCTTCGGATGAGTTGATCTTTTTTTCCACCCCTCCCCCCTCCGACGACATCAGCTTATTCATAGTAGACCGTAGAAAAACGGTTTAGTTCAACGTTTAGCTCATTCGGGTTACTTTATTTAGAACATTAGAAACACTACTAGAAATAACAACACTATAATAGCTCACTTAGTTAATGGGTCGTTATAGTGCATACGAAAAATGGTGTGCAGGGAAGAAGTGATAAAATAAAATGTTGTTAAAAGTAATTGAGAAAATGAATTATTATTTTTATTGTTTACCATTATTATCATTTATTGTTCATTTTATGAGCATACCGACAGTGCTGTAAATCAAAGGGAGGAGGGACTAGTGAATCATCATCACTGTCATCATCACCTCCACATCATCATCATCACCTTTAACAACAAAAGCAACAAGAACAGAAAAACAAACAAACAAAAACCAGCACAAAATACAGAGCTGGGACAGTGTATACTTACAAGCCATAAAAGGTATATTAATCTTGCCCTCAGCCTGCAATGTTTCAATGTTTTGGTGTGTTTTTTTTTGTCCACCATAAGTCTGGACCCCAACACCGCGAGCTTCCTGGTGAGCGTGTCACCCAACACTCTCAAACTCATACTCAGACCGAGGCCTGGTGGGGAGTTCCCCCTTGACTTCACCAATGGCTGCTTTGCTCCGTGGACACACGATATCACCCAAGCTCACTGGCTCTCCTCAACGTTTCCGCTTCCTGTGCCCGGAAGTCAAACCCACGACGCCGGTATCGTAGTGCTGTTTGTTCCACTGCAGGTATTGTTTCCGTCTCGACCGCTCTCTTTTACCAACCCCTCCTGCCCCCCCCCCAAACCTCCCACCCCATCCCCTTCCCCCTACCTCCCTTTGAAATTAGGTTTGCTTGTCTTAGTTCTCAAATGCCCCCCTGTCCACTTCCGACATGGTCGTCGCGTCTGTATTCAAAATGTCTCAAAGTCTTTCATTTCTCACCTTTTCTCCATTTTTAATCCAGTCTCTGTCTGTCACTGAATGAAATATCTACTGTTCCCTGTATCCGAATATTTTTTCCCTGACGAGCTATACCATTTGTATTCTCGAATGTCTTCTTTGTTATTCATCCCGTCCACCCCTTCCTCTTTTTAAAAATCTTTCTGCTTAATTAATTCGTTCTCTGCCTCTCAGACACTGAGCAATAAAGTCCATTTAACGATCATCCCCGACTTTCTGCGGCGGTTCAGTATCCCACTGTCTTCCTTTCTCTTCCTTCTCTCTGTCTGAGTCAGTGCACACTAGTTTTCACTGCCTCCTATTACTGCATCTCTCTCCTCCAACGACACACACCTCCCCTCGTTTATCTCCTCCTCGGCCAGTAAATTAATTTACTTGGGTTTTTGTAATGGATTAAGGCGAATTGTATCGACTCGTCTGTACGTTTGCGAGTTAAATCGATCTGTGCTTCTGGCAACAGTGGATACTGTTGAAGTAGTAACAAACATTACCAAAAAAAATACCGGTAAGCGGAAAGGTGATCTGTTTCCAGTACGACGTAGGTGGGCTGAAGTGTAAAATCAACACAAAATTCAGAGAGCAGCCCGTCTGTCAGTCTTGCGAATGCGAGTGTAATAACTGTGTGTGTGTGTGTGTGTGTGTGTGTGTGTGTGTGTGTGTGTGTGTGTACCATCTGAGCTACCGTTGCACCCTGAGACACCGAGAGAGAGAGAGAGAGAGAGAGAGAGAGAGAGAGAGAGAGAGAGAGAGAGAGAGAGAGAGAGAGAGAGAGAGAGAGAGAGAGAGAGAAAGAGAAAGATATATATATATATATATATATATATATATATATATATATATATATATATAGAGAGAGAGAGAGAGAGAGAGAGAGAGAGAGAGAGAGATGGGGATTTCTTGAAAGTAGTCCCATCTTTTCACTTGAACTCGCGACTCCTTGCCAATCATAATCTATGTCATTGCAAAATGCTTTGATGTAAACGACACCACAACATGAAGCAATTCACCCACCCATACCCAGCAATTGTGAAATGCCACCGCCTTCGGTCTCAATACACCCCCCCCCCCTTTCAAAGGGCTGTCGTTACAATAGCCAATCAGGAGGAGCTTTGTAGTAAATCATGGTCGATAGGGCGGGATTTAACGTATACCTCTGCAGAACGACGAGTAGATCTAAGTTGTCACCAAAATCTTTTTCTACGTACGATTTTTCTTCCTTTCAGCCTGGTGACAGCATCATCACCGTCATTCAGGAGGACGGGCACATTTTCCTGAGCGCTAACCACCATACCGCTTACGGTATGTTCAGCTGTTCGTTAGAAGATTCGTAGTTTTATTAAAACGATAATGGAGGCGATCATGATGATTACGGTGATGATGATGATGGTGACAATGGTGATGATGATAATGGTGATGATGATGGTGATGACGATGATAACGATGACGACGAATGGCGATAACAATAGCGACCATAATTATCATAACAACAATAACAACAATTTTGATAACAATTGTAGAACAGGAAGGATAGTACGATAATGGTTATACTACTACTACTACTACTACTACTACTACTACTACTACTACTACTACTACTACTACTACTACTATTACTACTACTACTACTACTACTACCATTTGGGGGCTCTCGTGGTATAAAGGTTAAGGTGTTTGCCTTTCATCCAATAGGTCCCGGGTTCGAAACCTTACAGCGACGGACATTTTTCTTCTCTAAAATTTTCTCTTGTCACCTCATTTCTTGCTCTCGAACCATGTTCTATCGTTTTCTTTCATCTCAAATTTCTGCCCTCACCCCCTCCCCCATTTGCCCTCTTCTCTGGGCTCCGGACTCTTTTTGCATCTACTCTACTGCTACTTCTTGGCTCCGTCTTTCAGCCGCACCCCTGCTCTTAGGTTAGGTAAGATCTAACACCTTTGCATTCTCAGAGAAGGGCGAAAAATCTCCGAGGCCCCGTGTGCAAGTTGCACACGTTAAAGATCCCTTGGTGTTCCAAAAGCAATAAGAGTAGACTTCGGCCACCACCCAGGCAAAATTCTAAATTAATTCCTGCCAAACTGAAACTGTTTAATGTGTCTCGCATGCTCATATGACCTTATGCAGTTACGAGAGACGCAAGATACTTACCGAAAAGGTTTTTCCCACTACTAGAAATAATAATATTAACAATTATAATACTAATGATAATAGATGATAATAGTTATATCAATAATAGTTTAGAAATGATAATAATAATAATGGTGATGAAAATGGTACTGGGGATATTATGAGCAATTAATAACAATAATCATAATAATATAAATAAATGAGAGATCGAATTAGTATGGGTGTACGTAGGTTTGTAGGTGCGTGCTTGATTAGATCTGTGTTATCATGCACGCAGTGTTATGCCTAATATTATGTTTTACGCCTTAAAAGCTGTAAGAAGGTTCTGCCAGTTTCTTTTCCATTAAATATTGCACGAGGTTAACGTATCTCGTTCATTATTATTAATATCATTCTCTTACCTTCTGTCCAGCTCGTGGCAACTTACCAACCTTGACAGAGGAGCCGTTGTACATAGGAGCAGGAGCTGACCCGTCTACCCACAGAATCCTGCCACTGTACCAAGGGCTCTTTGATTCTGTAAGTATCTGTCTGTCTATCTCTTAGAATCCCATTGCTGTAAAATGTTGTGTGTGATCCTATGAAGTGTTAAAGCATGGCCTCCTAACAAAATTTAGGAAAAGTGTGATTTTGCATATTTTTAGTTTGGTTTGTAACGTTACTTTATTTTCCTGAATTTCACCTGAAGGAAGGCTTATTTTCTCCATGTTCATTTTGCCGAGTGTCATTATGTAAGTAAGTAAGTGAGTGTTTATTCAGTGCTTAAGGTACACTACGGCAGTAGCCAACAGCCAGAAAAAGTCGATTTTGGTATCTATAACCGATTTTTCGATTTTGGACTATTTTAGTAGAGCAACATTTGCTTTATAAATTGGAAATATTTTCAAGTGTCTAAAACATCTATAAGGTGCTCACATATACCAGGTTTTTGAAAATTTTGGTGAAATAGACCAGTATGAATTGGATTTTTTTATCAGTTTTCTCTATGATTTTCTTAACGGGGTGGGTCACCTATGCAGGGATATTTCTGAAAGTTCATGTCACAGCTCAATCTCACTTTGCATGAAAGTTTCTAGATAATATGTTTGCAACGTACTAAAAGATTATTGTGATATTGCAAATAGTTTTCTGTTAGTGTAAAAAAGATTGACAGTATCAGTCTGATTTATGATCATTTTTTTGTCCGAGTATCGTATATGACACTAGAAGGGCAGTTACAAGAAATGTATGAGACTAAGGAAAGTAAATCGTTAGTACGTTGCAGGTTGTATATACAGAAACACTGTGTGAAAATATCCAGGCTGTATCAATTCAATCTTTTTCAGAATCCCTGCATAGAATTTGCGCGAATTCTGGTCTGTCGAACCCATTGCATTTAAAGAATTCAGACAATTGACAGTGAAATCATATTGGGGCAGTGTGTTTCTGTTCATCATCATCCGGTGCCTTGCCAACTGGCGTGGGCGATCATGGACCTCCACTTCCATCTGTCTTTCGAAGCAGCAATGGTGTCTGTTGTTCTTGCTGCTCCCAGCCATGTTGTCATCTTGTCCAGTATCTTTTCCCTCTGTCTGCCTCTACCTCTCTTTCCATCAAACTTTCCTGTTGTTACAATGTTCTCTAATGCTTCTTTCCGCATTGTGTGTTTCTGTTACTTGACCCATATTGGTTATTAGGAATCCCAGTATACTTAATTTAGAGCCCAAACAAAAATGTTTACTTCAGCTGTACCTAGTGCTCACATCACATAAAACACTTATTAAAAATTTAAAAAGTTTCCATTATGAAATAGCACAGGTTGTACACATGCCTCTCCTCATGGGTCAATCATTGCGTATTTGTATTACTGCGTCAGGCTGGGGAATTAACTTTTTTTTAATTGGCAAAATTGAACAATAAAAATGAATAAAAATCAGTGAAATTCATCTTCTGTTTTTACTTATGTATTTTGTAAGTGTCTTACGGCGCTCACAACAGCATAAGCGCAGGACATATTAAGCATTTTCAGTTTGGTAGGAATTAATTTTGAATTTTACCTGGATGACGGTTGAAGCCTACTCTTTTCGATTTTAAGACTGAATTCAACTTCAGTTTCATGAGAGCTACACGTCTCATATAAAGGTGAACTTATTAAATTCCACCGATAAAGATTGTTATTTATTGAAAGGCTATGGGTAAAAAAACAACAACTTGATCACTTAACACAGCTGCAATTATTTACCTAGCGGACGGAGCTGGATGAAACTCTGAACACAACATCGGCACAGACACATTTAAATTATAAATGTAGAAAACCAAAGAGTCTACATAACAAGAGGGGCCACTTCTCTCTTTGAGCTAATAAAAAAAGTGTCCTCAAAATTTGGTGGCG